CCCCAAAACCCCAAAACCCCAAAACCCCATTTTTGTAAAAAATATTTGAAAATACAACTTATTTGTTAATTATAATCATTTTAAAGGTGCTTCTTTAAGGTACCTTCCCACTTCTCTTCCTTGATGGATCTCAAATAGTCATTGTTGCTTTTGAATTCAGTGTCATTATCTAGCTTTATAGCTTCATAGCTCATATCATTGTCATGATTCTTTAGTAAATTTGAAAGAGTATCATCTCCTCCATCTCTGAAGTTGTATTTATTCTCAAAATCAAGGAGTCTATTATCATTTCTGTTATTAATCTTCTCAAGATTAATGGTATTCACTGTTCTCAGTGTAGTGACAGTTCCGTTACCAAAAGATTGAGTAGAATCACGAACACCCATTCCACCATTCCTGGTAGACTTAGCAGGTGAATCATTTTTAAGGACTGAATTGTTCAAAGAGTCATCTCCTTTATTATGGAAAGAAGTATCATTTAATTTCCCTCTCCCTGCACTTTCTAGAAATTTCGATTGTATTCCTTCATATTCTGGCAAAGCTGGAAAGTTGTCAATATCTAGAGCCATATTATTGGAGTTGGCTGTAAACCCTGTATCGTTGAGTTTATTTTTCCTAATCTCGTTGACCTTCTTTGATAAAGAATCTTGTCTTCCAAACTTCATTTCATCGTTAGAGTTTGGGTCTCCACCAATCCCATTGATTTTATTGATAAAATCGAGAGTATCATCAGCTTTTATAGTTGATTTTTCTTCGGTATCTGGTTCAAATTGATATTTGACCCTATTCCTGTAAATCTGATTCTTGATTCCGGAATCCAATGTAGGAATCTCTATGTTCCCAGTATATGGGTTTTTCTCATTCACCTCTATTGCATGGGTTTTGACAGCCTCAGGACTCTTCTCATATATTGGAATCCCTTTCTTATCTTGCTTGAAAGTCTGCTCCTGCTTTTTGATAGTGCCTTTATGGAAATAATTTGAAATTGTATCGTTATGATCTACTGGCACTAATGCTGAATCCCCTCTAAGGGATTTTCCAGCTAAATTAATGTTGTTATTGTTTTTGTTGAAAAACATTTGTTCATAATTGTTCATGTCGACACCACCTCTACTTGCTGCTCTCCTTTCAGGAGCATCTTCATTTGTACCTTTTGGTGCATATCTGTTAAGAGCAGAAACTAATTTGTTTTGATATCCATCTTGAGCTTTCTTTTTATCAAGAAGTTCTTTCATTCTTTGCAGTTCTTTGTTTGCTTCATTTCTTTCTCTAACTGCTTTATCAGTTTCGCCTTTAAGCATTTCCATTTGAGCTCTCATCTGTTTATTTCTAGAGTTCATCTCTAAGCGAAGCTTATCCAATTCTTCATCAAAATTCTTCTTAATTTGCTCTTGGATTTCACTAAATATTTTTGTTTTCCCCAACACTTGAGGAGGTTGCTGAGGAGCCTCAAAGTTAGGTTGTATCGGCTTCACTGGGACTAAGGTCGGTCCTTCTTGACCACCGTTACCGAATACTTCTTGTCTTCTGTTTGGATTTGGAGGTCTTGAATCTAAAGATTAAATCCTTATTCTTACTAATTTTGGGTGCATTATTTCTAACATCTTCTTGCTTTTTCTTCTTTGCTTCTATCAAAGCTTCATTTTCCTTCTGCATATTTTTGAATTTCTGTTTTTCTTTATCTTGCTCCATTTTATATTGTCGCTCCATCTCTTCTCTTTCACGTTGAAGTTTCTTTTCTTCTTCTAAATCTTCGAGTTCCAGTCTACGCTTTTCTTCTTCTTTATTTTCTCTTCTTTTCTTCCATTTGGTCGATTAGTTGTTGTTGCCATTCATTCTTGAGTTTATTTTTGTTGTTTGCAAGAAGGTCTTCATTTCCTCCTACATCAAGAGCTGTGCCTTCATCTCTTCCAGCAGGAGTTTGAATTGTTCTCTTGTTACTAGGAGCCATAACTGGTTCTTGGGTAGGATAAACATCCATTGAAATATTGTTAAATCCTTGCGGCTGTGGAAGCATTCCGTTCGGATCTGGCATATTTCCTCCTCCACCCATTGGTTGGTTATGAAATCCCATACCAAAATTATTACCTGGATTCATGCCAAATCCGCCCATATTGTTATTCATTTGAGGAGGAGAAGGCTGTCTTTGCTGATACGAAGGCATAGGATTATTAAACCCCATGTTTTGTTGAGGAAGCATTGGCTGCTGGAAATCATAAGGATTCCCACCCTGAAAATTATTAATGCTTCCTCCTCCCATATAAGGATTCTGGAAATTCTGGCCCATGCTAGGCTCTGGCATCATTTGTTGGATTGGAGGCTGAAAAGAAACAGTTGGTTTAGGTTTTGGTGGTTGATAGACTTGAGGCTGAGGCTGTTGAGGAGGATGATAAACTTGAGGTGGTGGTTCAGGTTGACTCATTTGTGGAGCATTATAGCTTACTTTTTGATCATTATAGCTTGGAGCTGGAGGATGATGAATTCTTTCCTCAACTGCTTCCCTTCTATTTGTTATTACTTGACCTCTATTATTTTTATTAGGAGCTCCAGCCCCTGCTTTTCCAAAAGGATCGCTATATTTCTCCATTTCTTCCCTTTCTTTTCTTCGTTCTTCTTCTTTTTCTCTCTTTTTCCTTAACTCTCTTTCTTCCATTTCCTTTTTCCAATCATTCAAATATTCACTTTTATTAATCTTCTCTTCTCGTGTTCCACCTCGAGATGGAACCAATGGCCTCGGTTCTTCATAACTCGGAGGCGGGGGTTGAGGCTGATTATGATTTTGAACTGGAGCAGGCTCCTTATTAAATTTTTCAGATTTCCCATAGAAGCTTTCAGCAGCCGGAAAAGACTCTGTGTTGAAATTCTCTACTGAAGGAGGTCTTTTGTTAAAATTAATTGGTTGTGGAGGCTCTTTGGTAGCTACAATTTCATTCTTAGCAGGAAACCCACTTGGAACACTAACTGGAGCATTGTGCTTTGTAGCAGCTCCAAAATCATGCCCCTTTGGTTCGATCAGAGTCAATGGGGTCTCTTCCACTTTGCCTATTACTTGAAAATTCGATTGATTATTCTGAGGTTTAATTTCCTGTGGCTTCGTAAATTTAGAAGGAGCTGACCCTGACTGGCCAGGAAAATTTAAACCAGGAGTACTCTTGGTCTCAGGAGTGCTTTTAATTACTGGCCCAGGGGCTGCAAAAGCTGGACTAATTTTGCTAGCTTTCTGCATCTTCCTTTGCTCCCACAACTGCTCTCTTTTAGTTTTACCAGAAGTCTGGACAACAGGATTTTCCTGGACACTAAACTTTAGGTTGTTCTTAGGTTCACTGGGAACTTGAGAAGATACTTGAGCTTTATCTTGATTTAATGCTTTCTCGAAAGCATTTTTATCGAGCATCATCTGAATTTAAAATATTATTCAATTTTTTTACTACTGAAAGGGGTTTTGGGGTTTTGGGGTTTTGGGGGTTTGGGGTTTTGGGGTTTTGGGG